TCTACGGAAGCCCATTTAGGACCTATCAAAAATATTTTTGAATTCGATATAACGAATTGTCAATTTTTTATATAAAGAATTAAATTCGTTATATCAATATCTTATCCGTTGTACATGCAACAAAGTAGTATGACATGCAGATTATAATAGTATCAACGAACTGCTTTGATCGCTATGCTTAATTGTTTTCAAGTGAATTGGTTGGCTTAGGGGATGACGACGTGTGATGCGTCAGTTTGCATTCACACGGAGTGAACTTCCCTGCGCTTCCGGCAAGTTATTGAGTAATGCCCGTGCATTACTTTCAATGAGACGTTCGACTCTCGATTTGCTGCTTTTGATGAATGTTGATTTGTAATTTTCACTGTTTTTCAATTTCATTTTATTTCTTAAGATCTTCTCCTCTTTGTTTCTGAAACTGATTTTTACTAAGCCAGGTTTATTTTTAAACTTTGTAGGTAAACGTACAACACCTGTTATTTGAACCATTTCCGAGACAATGCCCCCCTAGAGCAGAGACCAGACTTGCGACTTTTTTCGGTAAGGTTTTCATTTTCGGAGAAAGGAATGCCACTGGCTGTGATTGTAAAGTTCTCTAACGTATTTGTGAAATCAATATGATCATTTAAATCCCCGGGGGGGGGGGTTGACTTTGTTTCTCTAAGCTGTTTAATCGACTCTGAATTAACTGAGTATGTCATTTGTAGATTTTGTTTTTGGGATGAAATATTGAGATAACGAACAGTAACCCTATGTTATTGCTAGCGCTCTCGAGCGCTAGCAACTACGTTAGTCTATATTTCTGGAATACGCATGCTCGACTTCACCGTCGGGCATTCTGGGAAAACCACTGAAGATAGACTGTATACGATGATAATTTCGTTTTATAATTAAAAATTGATATGATCCGAATTCTGAATGTCTTAATCCATTGTATAACCTATGATTAAAAGTACAAGAAAATTTGGGTCATATAATGCCAAGATTGTAGAGATCAACTGGTAAAACCTAGCTTTCCTTAAAGCCAACCATGGATACTACCTTCCTAGATAATTCCGGCAAGCTCAGAAAAAAAAAAACACAGGAAATCTTTCAGAGTTTGTCGGAAAGACACGAGAAGCGATTGATACAATGCAGTAACACTGGTATAATTATAATTCTTTAATTTTTCATTTTTCCTTTTTTGACGGAAAAGCCCGAGTAATGATCCGATTGTTATTGCTAGCGCTCTCGAGCTCTCTTCCTGGATCTTTCCGGCAAACTCGGAATAACAACCTCGGATATGTTTTCCGAGCTTGCCGGAAAGGCCCGAAAGGATGCGATTGCTACAAAACAGTACCACACTGGAATATTTTTAAACTAGGTGTTCATTGGTTCAACTTATCTCTTATTTTTCATTTCAAAATTGAAATTACAGTAAACTACAGAATGCTTAAAGCACAGTTAATGATTCATGCCATTGCCAATGTGAAAACCCACTCTGGATATCCCGAATTTAATCCAACAATAGCCTTTTTTATAAATAGTCTGATGAATATTCTGTATTAAACACTGAATAGCTGATACATTCACCATTCTGAATTAAGACACATCCCCCCAACATTACCTCCAGTGTACCACTGTGTCTTCCTATTAATAATTAAGGACGACCGTTTGATTCTGAAGGGGGGAGGCTGGAAGATTTTGGAAAATAATAATCTGTCCTCAAAAAAGTTGAAAATAAATAATTGTCTTTCCACGACCGGCAAGAAAATAAATAATCTGTCATTGACTATTGCTACTTAACCCCCATCCCCCCTCCCCCCCCCCCCCCGTCCCTCTTTGAACTTTTTCTTTGTTTTTGTTTTTTTTTTTCGGTCAAACTTTTTCAGTGAAGAAGAAAATAAATAATCTGTCCTGGATCATCTTGAAAATAAATAATGTGTCCTTGACTGGCATGAAAATAAATAATCTGACTCGAAAGATTTTGCCAGACCTCCCACCCGACCCCCTTCCTCAGAATCAAATGATCGCCCCCTTAATCGATTCAGCAAATTAATCCAATAATTCAGATATCTAATTCTGTGGTTTATGATAGCTACAGCGCTAGCTCACCTATCTTTTTAAAAGATAAGCTTGTATACATGTATATTAACATAAACATATTACATTCTAACACGAATAAGTTGCATTTCGACGTAGTTATCTAGCATTTTTACATAATCGGTGGAATGTTATTGCGTAATGATACTCTCATTAATAAAAAGCATATTTTCGCGCTAGTTTCGAATTAACGCTAATGTAGGGCTAACACATGGCAAACAACCCTTGATGAAACGTGTCTCTGGACCTCTGGACAAAGAGGTTAAAGGTAAAGCGGGATATATACACTCTGTGAAGAAATATTAACCAATCACTATTTTCACTTTCTTATTCAAATTTAAAAGTGTAATTTTAGAAAGCTTGAGCTTTAAAGGTAGGTGTTTATAAATGTATCGATCTTTTTGATATCAAAATATGTATTGATCAAACTCATTATTCTGTCAAAAGCATCTAAAAAATCAATATAAAATCAGAATACTATTACAGATGGCCCTTTCAAACAAAAGCCAACTGAAATAATAATATCCCATATTAAGCTAGATATTCGTTAGAGTAGACATAACTTATACATGTATGAATTCAGCTGTAAAAAGAGTAAGTTCAATTTCGAATATATGTCAAATATGATAAAATGTAAGTATAAAAATAATAGCGTATTTTCTCCGTAGATAGATTTTTTTTTACCGGTAAAGGCAAAATCAATATATGTATAATCAATTTATATTTGCTCTTTGTGGAATGCAATATCTGAACATGTATATCGTCTTAGTTACGATATGAAGATTTAAAAGATACGTATATTCATATAAAAACTGCTTACTAAGGGGAAAAAAATCAATTGAAAGCTTTATAGTTTGTTGAAGCTTAGATTCCCAAGAACTTGATTCTTAATTTCTCTCAAACCCTACATTCCTACATGAGGTATAACTTAATCATATTTATATAATTACGTACACGTATACGTATATATATATATATATATATATATATATATATATATATATATATATATATATATATATATATATATATATATATATATATATATATATATATAGATAGATAGATAGATAGATAGATAGATAGATAGATAGATAGATAGATGTATCTATCTCTCTCTCTCTAATATTATATAAAGTAAGGCAAGGAAGAGAGGTATAATAAGATCTGACGTAACACGAGTCGTTCTTCTTTATAATTTATAGCCAAGGATCTGTAGATTCAAATTTATAAGAAAAGTTCACCTTTCTTGAAATCTGTCCTTACTGAGGGAGGAAAAAATAAAATGAACTTGCTCTTAGAATTTAATCCAAGGATATTTCTGTAATAAATGTGACTGTTAATTTTGATAGCACAGTAGAAAAGCTTAGCTCATCATTTTGAAAAGGTAAATGAACATCACAAATTGCAATATTCTTATTTCAAAATAACTTTCCTTCCTTCCAGTATAAATATCGGATCAAAATTAAATCGCAAAAACCACGACAGTGCAACTATTTCGGCAGGGGATGCTCACTCCTCCATGGTACCTGATCCCACATCTAAATTTTGAGCTCGAGGTCCGTGTTTGCTCTGCTCCAAAATTGTATCGTTTCATTTGACTTTCGAGATTCAATACTGTTCGTTATCTTCATATTTTATTTGAAGAAAAGATAATTATAATTAATATACGAGGGCTGTTCGGAAATTATTGAGACATTTTGTATATTTTTCTTTTTAATGAACGTCTTTCGGTGAAAATTTGCATATACGTTTGACAAACATTAAGAATTCATAAAAGCAAGAAATATTTTACAAATATTAAATTTCTTCTCTTCAATGGTATATAAATGTGTCAATGGTAGGGATACCCGCCGCAGTCACGAAATCAGATATTGAAAATACGCATCACCAATGTTCAACACCCCGGTGGACCTATAATAAGAGCGAAAATAATTCAATTTATGTATATAATTTTTTAATTTTATTTTGACTTGATGTTGTGCAAGTTTGTTAGAATTCTGATCAGAAATACGGAAATCATTTAAAAAATTAAGCGCGGTAAAGAAATCTGATAACGACGACAAAATGGATTTTGAAGTCAAGGCGGAGCAGCGAGAGACCTAAAATTTTGTGTAGCGCTATGTAAAACTCCTTTCCAGACTGACCAACCTGCTAAAACAATAACAGCGAGAAAATACATGTCTAAGGGTTTGTTACATGTATTTTATTGGTATATATTTTTTTCTAACTTATAATTCAACTACAGTAAAATCAAAAACTCCGGACGACCATCAGTTTTTACCGTAACGGAATTAATAACGTTGACCCGCGTTGCATAAATCGGCACTGCACGATGCTAAGTCATCCTGTATAAATGACGCATGAAAAATTTACAATAGTGAAGCAACAGCACACATTTTTTAAAGAATCGTTTAAGAAAAGAGACAGTTTGATTTTTGTAGGGTATATAATTATGACAACAAAGAAAGGAGAGTAAACGCTTCCCGATCGTTTCATATGCAAAATCATCTCCGGCTGAAGTGACGTTAAAATGACGTAGCGATACTGATCCAGGTCGATAGACATATGAATGTTTATTATTTCACCGGAACTTATCTAATTATCCTTCAAATTAGAAATTTTGTATAATTGTTTTATTCTTTCTTTATAAAATGTTGACGAATTTTCCTGAAATTATCTCTGCCCTTTATGGAGTTAAAGTAATTGTCTCAATAATTTTCGAACAGCCCTCGTACATGTTCATGTATTTACACATATCAAACTTGTAAATGATGTGTGCATGCATCAAGAGTGATCTGAATTTTTAACCTTTATTAAAATCACATACTAGTGTTGTGATGATGATTGACTAAAATGTATTTCATTTTCATTTATTAGACAGTCTTCTTAGAATATACTTTTATACAATATGCAAACTAAGAGAACCTTTTAAAATATTGCAAAACACAATAATAAAAACGAATACATGCTCATGACAGGTTAAAGTACAAATGGCAGTTAGATATTACAAGCACTTAAAGTTGAAAATTTGCAAAAGACGAATTGAAAGACGAAGCCTTGGGTAGTAAGGATATATTAAATTTTGAAATGAACACAGAGGAATCGAACATTTTCACTCATATCACCTTGTTTTTATTAAGATGTCATGTAGTACTATCCATGTCTTTTGGTCTTCGTGGATATCAACGGACACACACTTAACGTTGTTTAAATTTTCCCTATTAGTTGAATTCAACATGAATTTTCCATGTTCAAATAATCCCACCTTAGTCCTCTTTTCACATCTGTCACCGTTTGGTTTTAAAACAGACGATACACTGACGGAAGCTGACGTCACTTTGTCATCTGGATGTTTTTCATGACCGCTTTTAATAGAAATTGTTGTGATATTTATAGGGCTTTTAAAAATAATTCTATAAAATGAACTGTTTTTAGGATCCACAGCCCAGAAAAAATCGTTATTATCTTCTGGATAGTATGCTGCCTCTGGTTGAAAAGTCTTGTAAGCCGACATGTTTGTAAAAATTTCGGCTTCTGGATTTTTGGACTGTGGTGTCCATCCTATAACCTTACGTTTGACATATCCCGGAAAATCTCTATCTTGGATCTTTTGAATCTTATTTTCCAATGAAGAAATTAAACCCTGATGTTGAAACAATGAAGGTCTTATGCGAATTTCCTTTTGCTGACCTTTGATGCGCTTCAGTTCATTTATCAACAAATCACCTGGAGTTTCATCGAAAAGAACCAATAAAAATTCAGCTACTTTAATTAAATCGGAATTTTTGAATAGAACACCGATGAATCCCAATTTAGAAAAACGAAGAAAGAGCCATGTTTTCTTTAAATTTTGGCTGATAAATGATTTAATCTTAGACAGATATCCCGCTGTGGTGATGACGTCATCCTCCAGCTGAAGATAATATTGCGACATATTTCTGGAGTAAGTCATCAAGTAGGAATAGTCCAGATTCTGTTTACTCCTCCAGGCGACTCTTGTCATGCTATCATTATATTTCCTCTCTAAATACTGGAAATTTGGATATGCTATATGTGGTGGATGAACAATTTGCATAAAGCCGGTCTTAACATGTTCTTTGAACTGTTTATATATTTCCTTAGCTCGTTCTATAACCCACGTATGGTTACTGTCCGTTAAAAAAATTACTATCACTACGCGCTCACGTTCATGAGGAAGAGAGTGCTCCACTAGGGATGCCAAAGCGGTTTCCAAGTAAGAAACGTCTTTTCGTTTTACTGATGGTATGCCAATGGTAAGAAAACCTGTAGATGTTCAAAAAGGTGAATTCAAGAAGATAAAAATGTCCACAATAAATGCTCTTTTTCAGTCTGTGTGTATTACATGTCTGCACAAAAACTGATTTGATCATAATCTCTACAGTTCATGTTAAATTGGAGAAAAAGTCCGACTATTTAAGGAATCACTGTCTAGCTAGTGGAATATGCCAGGTCATCAACGATAGCTGGAAATATTGGATAATTTGCATAACGGGCGAAGCCCGTTATGCATAAATTATCCCACGTTTCCAACTATCAACGATAGTTGGAAAAAATCGATGCAGATTTCGCATTTTGGATATTTATTATCCTCTTTGGTTTGAGGAATAAAAGATGAGTCCTTGGTAAAATAAAAATAAAAGATTACAGTCAAGATCATATGGTTAGTAACTTCTGTAAATTCCAATTAAGATTAAAAAAAAGAACTTGACATACAAATGTACATTCTTATTTTTCTTACTTACTTTTTTATGTGTTCTATGAAACCTGATTTCAATTCCAATCATCTTTGAATTAAAGAAGATAAAAATGTCCACAATAAATGTTCTGACCTTCGTTATCGTACACTATTTTTTCAGTCTGTGTGTATTACATGTCTGCACAAAAACTGATTTGATCATAATCTCTACAGTACATGTTAAATTGGAGAAAAAGTCCGCCTATTTAAGGAATCACTGTCTAGCTAGTGGAGTATGCCAGGGCATCAACGATAGTTGGAAATGTGGGATAAATTATCCCACGTTTCCAACTATCGTTGATGTCCCTGGCAAACTCTACTAACTAGACAGTGATTCCTTATATTTCCATTTCATTATGAAATAAAATTGTGAATTTAGATTAAAAATGTAGACAAATAGATTTAAATTACACGAGGCCTCGCATGCCAATTTCAATAGTCCCCGCCCACTGACGTCAAACACAAAGACAGCCGCACGAGATTTACATGTATATTAGGCCTCCTTAGCGTCAGACACAAAGACAGCCGCACGACAATTACATGCATATTATAGGCCTTCTTAGCTCTTGACCTTTCGCTTGGGGAAAGGATCATTCTCTATAAGGCCGTTTTGCGGCCTACAATGACTTCAAATTTTCAAATAGTATTTTTTCCCTTAAAAACTGCATGAGTTAGTAGGCTAATGTTCCAATTTAATGATAAATGTTGATTGGTTAATGATATAAAAGTATTTGTTATGATATAGGGTCACAAAGTAAGGTACTATCGGTCCGTATTAGCATTAGGGTAATGGGAAAACTCAAGAGGGTTGGTGTGTTAGGTAACTCCTACACATGTCATAACCACCTTTAACCAACACCAAAATTTGCATGTAAACTTCTTATGAACATAAAAAGTGACTACCAAATTATCAACTTGGTTAAAGGTGGTTATGACATGTAAATAAAAACTTTTCGCTTCATTTTTACGACATTTGCAGGAAAAGCTAACTACTCACAATGAAGGATATCAGCTTATGAAGATTATTTCTTATTATAAACTTTCACTTAGAGTACATGTTTCTATTGATTTACTAAGAATTAATATAAGCCATGCATGTTTACTCAAAAAAAGGTAAACTTTTCACTTTAAAAATCTAAAATCAAAGGACTGAAATGACTGGTTGTTATGAAATTACGTGAAGACAAGTCTCATTGAACTATCTGCTAGAAATAAAGAAATTTTTTATAAACTATAAGGCATGAATATAAGTTACTTATTATAATTATTATTATTTATAAGGATAGTTTAGTTTATCTATGCTACTTCTTTGTATTTGTATTTCCTTAGGAGTACTGCATATTTGTTATTAGTTCTAGAAATGATAAAAGCTATTTTTGTTGTAGCGGGAAGATGCATTTGCTATTTGTGTTATAAACTTAATTTTTCTATGGGTACACATGTAACTTTTATAGATAGAGAATTACTGATGGGATGGTTTCATAATGGAAATTCTCGCCTCGACCTTTTAGAAGGACACTTTTCCGTATGAGTGACATAGGATCCATGTATTTTGTTAACTGGGTGTTGAGAGGACTCAATCTATTCATCACACTTCTTTGGTAGCATCAATATAAGTTATGAGAACAGTAGTTCTGTCTTAGAATATAAAACGCCAAGGAGGAAAGGGGTTCCTAAATGTCACGTGATTGATAATTGAATGTTGCTTTACGTCATTTTAGAATTTTTTACCCAGATAAAGAGATAATCCACTTAAGGTAAAGTGTCACAATTTTGATTTATGCATGGTTTCAGTATTGACCAACACCTACCGTGGGACAGGACCTCCTTCTTTAAGATAATATCCAAAAGACCCATGACTTTTACTTTCAATGCTGAGCACTTAGCAAAGGAACTGTCACTACCCGTGTTAAACACCTTAGTTCTTGACGCAGCACGGAAAGAGAATTTAATCCTCAGGTTTCAAGAGTGCGAAAGGAGTGTCATCTCTTACGGTCCATTTTGTACCTGGGATGTTGTAGAACTCTGTTAGTCCATGGATATACTAAAACTTCTGATATGCGTAGTGGAAGGAACTGTTGAAAATCTACTCCATTTTATGGAGTGCCGTGGGGGGGGGGGGGGCTCGACTTTTATACCTACATTTGTGTATTATAGTTTAGATAGCATTTTAAATTAAATATATTGTTTTAGATGCGTAATTAAATTGCATCAAATCAACTCTTACGATGTTATTTCATTTTACGTCGATATATATATTTTTAACACAACCGTTCTGAGTTTTATGTACTGACTATAAACATGTACTTGCATTAATATTTTCATCCTGTAAATTAATGATTTTTTTTTTTTTTTTTTTTTTTTTTTTTTTTTTTTGCAAATGTAGACTATATTTTATAAATTACAACTTAATTTTGATTTAATCACAAACAAAATTCATTCAATGCTTTAAACTTTTGATACACAACTTTTATAGTTCAATAGAAACTTAGAAATCTCATTTCTTGCATGGGCATTTTATGTGTAAAATAGGTACCACATCTATAGAAACAATACACAATTAAAATATAATCATATATGAAAAAATACTTTGAATTAAATGCTAATTAAACATTTTTCAACATCATACGAGGTGCATTTTGAAAAGATTTCCATTCAAAATATGCAAAATGTGAATGCATCAAAATTCTTGCCATAAAAAAATATCTTTAGCCTTAAATTAAACAATCTTTGCACTTATTACTTAAGTCTGATATGTTTCCGACATAAATAAACAATTTTTGATCATTTACATCTAGAAACATGCATAGAAACTTGATGTAAATAGACCTACCCTCAATTTTTCTTTACTTGACGGCCGTTTGTGATCTTTAAATCACGCGACTTAGGTGATCGATGTTGAAAAACAAACATCAAAATCATGAAATACAATGATTAAAGTTACATAAAATCAAATTTTAAGGTGATTTTATCGTAGGCCGGAAAATGGCCTTATAGAGAATCATCCTTTACATTCCGGTAGAATGATTAAGAAATCAACTCAACTAACTTTCAAAGAGTTATCAAAGAGAAAACAAAGAGAAATGGAAATATAATAATAAATATTACAAGTAAAATGAGGGATACCCATTCAATAAGGCGAAATACATTTAATGTCTGGTTGTAAGATTATTGCACTTTGTAGTCATCATGTGAAAGGTTGTCATAGTTTACTACGCACCTTTTTTCTCTCTGAATTTTCCATGAAGTAATGCCTCTTTGTGATTTATTTTAAAGTACATGTCTTGCAGTAATTTACGGTCAAACTCGTGAACATTCTCCTCAGTTATTGCTACGGGGATATCATCCTTTAAAACAATTAAACTGATGAAAACAAAAACATAAAGTTCTTTCTGAATTATTCTCTTTGATTTATAGGTAAGTAGAAATGATAATTGTCGACTTCAGGTTTTAGTTTCAAGTAAACCTTGATAATTAGAAGTCGATACATTTATGGTGTTTAATTTTTAATTGTTGTTTTTAACAATTCTGCACTAAAATTTCTGCTGAATCATACATGATGTGTTGAGATACTCACAAGAACATCTTTTTCAGTTGTAATGGCGGTTTTTACGGTAGACTTGACAGTCCTCTGTTCATTTTCTGCCTCTTGTCGCAAACTTTTCAAGTCTGTAAAAAAAAAAAATACCTGTACAATGTACACATCATAAAGATTATTCTAGTAGTAGATGGTAATAAGGATTAGAATGAAATATGTCTAGGAGTGTACGAGCGTTGGTGAATTTTCTATAATCATAATAAGACCAATAAAAATGTTTTATGCATGTTATGTTTCTTTTTGTAGAACCACAAATAATGTGAATAAAACATAATGAAATGAAATGCATCTAATTATTTTTTTAGAAAAATATTTTTAAAGCAAAAATCGATGCAGATTTCGCATTTTGGATATTTACTATCCTCTTTGGTTTGAGGAATAAAAGATGAGTCCTTGGTAAAATAAAAATTAAAAATTACAGTCAAGATCATATGGTTAGTGACTTCTGTAAATTCCAATTAAGATAAAAAAAAAAAAAGAACTTGACATACAAATGTACATTCTTATTTTTCTAACTTACCACAGGTATAATTATGATGAAAATAATAATAATAGTAATAATAATAATTGAATCCATAAAAAAGAAAAAAAAAATCAGATGATTTATCTATACACCCTTGTCGAAGTACATGTACCCTGTTTTATACAACCTTATTGGAAAACCAATATTTTTATGAATAACACTTAAACGTTCTAGACACTTTTTTATGTGTTCTATGAAACCTGATTTCAATTCCAATCATCTTTGAAAGCATTTCTGATAATCGTGTGTTATTCACACATTATTTTCATTTTATATATGGCTTTAACTGTTGAAATTCAAAAAGTGAACTGTAATAAATTGACTTTCCTTTGTTAATGATATATGAAGTATAAATTTTACAAATTTCCAATTCAACATAAAGTTGGCCAAGAAAGAAAATATAATTAGGTTTCAAGTACTTTACTCTATCGAAAAATTGTGCAAAGTTACAGAACATAGTATTTTCATAAATATTAATAAATATTTCATAAATAATAAATTACATTTGCTTACTTTGCTTCACCTAAAACACCCTTCATATAAAATACGGTATAAAATCAATAATTACTGTTCCCCGTGGAAAACTTCCGCTTGTTTTTACCTGCATCAATCCAACGATTGAAATTTTCATCTGATCTTCTTTACTCCTTTTAAAGTACATACTGAACCTCATAATAATCAATGCAAAATACTGCCTTCGGCTATATAAATTTTCCTGTGTACAAGTTTTGATGTATATTGATGTTTTAGTTGAGGTACTTTTTTGTCATGTTTAAAACTGACAGATGTGAAGCGACACTAATTTCCTTTTGATAGTACTTATTATTTAATTATCAAAATTGTATGGACCAAGAGGATCAGAGATGAATATAATTCGATACAAAAAGCAACTTATAACTGCACCAATAAAACATCTACAGTATGATGTAAAAATACTCTTGATATTTGTGAATCATCAGATGACTTTACATTGTATTCTTTGTTTGCAACAAATACGTATTTTCTGTGGTAACATAATTCCTTTAGATTTGAACTGATTAGCAATCGAATCCATTCATAAATACAAGGAAGATAAAAGTACATGTTGAGATTCCTCCTCATATTCTTGGCATTTAGGTATAAAATAACTAAACAACTCATTGTAGGCACAAAGGCACATTTCTATAATTGTTTTAAAAAAATCATTGTATCTTCCTCTTTCAAGTTTCAAAGCATGAGCACATAAACCAAGTCAAGTAATTCGTATTATATAGCTTGTGTGCATGGGCTATAACAACGGTTTTATTACAAAGAAAAACTATCCATCAAACGTATTTTAAGAATTTTTTGCTAAAGTTTAATAATTTTTCTCTGTGATTTGAAAAAAAATTTGTGAACGTTTACATCTAGAAAACGATAACTTCAGAAGAATGAAAATAAATACAACAAACTACAGGAAGCAGAGTTCTAAGCCTTCAGGAGCACCTATAGTGTTTTCTTAACTGTGAAAATATAAGGTATATCCTACCTGTTTTTTCGGTTGCTCTTTCACGAGGGGACGGAGTCAAGATGTTTAATATGAATAGAAGAGTGTAGACGGCAAATACAGTGCATACCAAGTTAAAAATATTCTTCAGTGAAATCCGCATGCTTCTGGAAAGCAAAATAGTTCATCAAATAAATCTCAGTTTTTTCAGTCGACATTAAATTTTGAAAAAAAGAGGAAGGTAGTGAATATATGTAATCTATTCTAGTGTCTAGCGCTAACATGAACATTTTTCAGTTCTTCACTACCAATAATTTATAATTTACTTTGCGTACATGGGATTCACATTTAAAGGAACAAAGGACCAGATTTCCTTACGGTGGATGTATTTAAGACATAGTGAAAATAAGGTGTAATCATTTAGAGATCCTCCTTGGAGCCACTGAACCAGAAATGACAAAATTAATGTGAATGCATCATATGTAGTCAACCCAATCTGTTCAAATATGTCTTTTTAATAGGAAAATATTTGAATCTTTACAAAATCACGTCTAGGTAGTTATGATGCAGAGAAATATGAAAATATTTGTATGAAAAACAAGAATTGAAACTGGCATGGACTCATTGTAGTGAACATGTTTCATAGTCGTACAAATCAATGCAGATTCAATGATTTTGAGAGTCAACGGTTTGCAGTATAATCTGATACAAATAAACATTTTTTTTTTTTTTTTTTAAAAGTTAAGTTTCAACCTAACTTATTTATAATCAATGCAAAATACAGAGTGAATAAATAAATAAATAAACAAATAAATAAATATGTAAATAAATAAATGAATAAATAAATATTAAGATTAAGATTTTGTATCTGGCAATATATAGTTGAGTTATTGTGATGCACAAGCTAAGGTAATTATAATGGCTAGATCCGGAGAGGCATATCTGTAGACAAATACATTGGTAATCTTTGACATGAAGTAAATACAAAACTTGTTGTTTAACAATATTTGGTGTCCTTAAGTTAATTAACAGAAATTCTTCTATTTTCAAATCTCACATAAGATATATGTATATTATAAACAGGTATATTGTTTATGATTTTAAAGACAATTTCCTTTTAAAATTCATGAAAAAGAAAATGGATGTAAAGCACAGTAGAGGAAAGGATTCCCATTCGCAAACATATAAGATTAAGATAAGGATAAATAGTAATTAAATTTAACAATCTGCATCTTCATCAATTTTTTTTTTTACACATTTGCCCACTCAGGAGGGAAGGGAGTAGAACTTTGATATTTTAGCAACTAGTTTGAGAAACAACTCACGTTAGACCATTTTTGGACATTTTAATTTAATTGATTGTGCAAGATTGTGCAATTTTCGAAAATTATATTTCACTTGATTGTTCTTGAAATAGGCATTGAACAAGGAAGAAATAAAGTGCCATACGTATCAAGTGCAAGTCGTTTTAGATATAATTCCTCGGCAAAGGCATAATGCTAAATTAATTAATTTTAGTTCATTCTTTATCAAAAAGTCCACTGGTAAACAAACTGAAGATGTAAATAGTTATTAGATATTAAAGATCAGTGGATTTGAGAGACAGGAGGGTTGAAAAAATCAAGAGTAAATTTGCTTACTTATATTTTTGAAAAAATCGAGACCGGAGAATCAAGAAGAGATTAAGAACTTCGAGAGATCAAAGTTCAAACCATCAAGAGTCACCTGTATATAGTACAAAAAGTACTTCCATAAGTTTTAATGGTCAGGTAGACTAATTTATAATAGATAAATAAAAATTAGACAAATATACAGTCTTTGTACATAAAATTTCCTTCAAACACCAGGGGTGGACAATGTGACAAGGAATGAGATGAGTTTACTAATACATATGTAGTACTTAAGTACTATTGTTTTGTTTGGTATGCTTGGTGCTAGTGAAATGGGGGCAAGTACAAATAAGAAAAATAGATCTACTTTAAGATTTGTTGCTGAGAACTAAACTATAATTTTGTTGATCCCTTTTCATCCTATAGCTATTTCTCTTGCTTTTGGGCAACATAACTTCATCTATCAGCTTATTTTGTGTTATTGTATACGTCTGTGGATGCTTTACAGTATTGTATTATACTCAGGTGACCATTAAGACCCTTGTACCTTTTATTTAAAATTTTTAAATATCTTGAAAAATCGAGAGCTGTCATTTAAATTAGCATATGATAAGGAAACTTCTATATTAGATCAGAAAACATTTATTTAACACAAGAACGCGATCGATGCAAATCTTATAAATAAAAAAGGTTTTAAAAATATTTTGAAGTATACATTTTTTTAATAAAATGTTAGTTTGGTTTTCGATAACTTCTCCCGTCGAATTCCCCATCACAATCCGCAATTTCTCTATATATAGAGCAAGCCCGTCCTCCGGGCTGCACTAATTAAGAATTTAATTTTCTTGCCATATATTGTACGATGTGAGGTATATATTACATTTTCAGTTATATTCCTACAAGGCTGCCAGTGTACATGTAAGACCTAATTTAACTAAGAACTACGCATGTTTTATAGAGGTACCTTTAAATCAACTTTACTTCATTCATCCGAAAAAAAATATTTAACTTATTTAATTAAGAACTACGCATGTTTCATAGAGGTACCTTTAAATCAACTTTACTTCATTCATCCGAAAATAATATGTTAGTATTATTCAGGATCTCATGCATGATTTGCTGTGAGATACAAAAATAATGCACATTTTCTCAATGCAGGATAAGCAAGCACTTCGGAATAAATCTGATCCAAAAATCTTATTCAACTGATTATAAAATGTATACACTACACTGCTACAGAGCTTCCGAAGATTCCTCATTAATAATATAATGGTATGTTTGCATCACTATGCCATATACGTGCAACTTTGTTCAGCATATGAATTATCTGTAATCCGAATCTTTTTTGAAGCAAAGCTATGCCAAAAGAATTAAATTATTGACCTAGTTCCAATGACAACTTTTTATAAGAAACTACAAGTTTATGAGCAGCTGGCATTTCTTGCAGGAAGCTGGAAATTTAAGAATGAGTTGTCCTTGGAAAGACAGCAATCAAAAGAGCTATTTTAACGTCTTAGAAGAATTTCTTATTTCTTATATTTATGTTACAAACACAGGGTTGATTTATTAATAATATGTGTAAACGCAATTTGTGTAAACAAGTTGTAATGCTGGCTGCATCGGCATTTAATTGGTTCACTTACTTCCCTACACCTTGCTAAGTCAAGCGTTTTGTCAACAATTTTTGATTACATTTAGCTGTAGAGAAAGAGTTCGTGCGACATTCCTACAAACTTTAAACATGGCCATTCTATAAACAAATAACGTAAATACTGTCCAAAAATCGAAGTGCCAAAGGAAGAACGAATAACAAACCACATGGATAGTAGCTGTCCTTTTGGGTCTAGAAAAAGTAAACTAAGTGTAACATTTCACGTACGTAACTAAAATTAGACAACATAAAAATAACAATTTTAATTAGAAAATGAAGATCCCAATATGGTGGTCGTATTTGTATTTGTTTTGTGTATAAAACAAACTTTTCAGAGAAGCCATGGGTAGGGATGCAGCTCAAGGGAAAACTACTTGATTCGAATTTGCTATCTCGTAGAGAAGTAACGAGCTATTGTTGCATTAAGATAAATCTTGTTTATATTCTGACCAACTGAGAAGAAAAATACTACACTGTAATAATTGAAAAAGTAAGTAAATACAGAAAGTGAATACAAAGTACCTACTTACCACATCCGTAAACAATAGCATAACATGTGGGTATTAAGCAGATCGATATATTCCACAATTTTCTCTTCCTGTTCCAAAGGAAATGAAAGTACTTCCGTTAAATTATTAAGCACATGTCTTAAATGTAATTTTTTCTTTACATATTTTACATGGAATGAAACGATCTAAAACAAAAACTGCTGGCTGCAGACAGCACAATTGTTAAATGCTCTAATAGTAGTTGGTATCTAATACATTAACCTGGAGGAAATGTTAAGGATGAATGAAGACGATTTACATTCACAAACTTTAAATTTAAAACATGGGTTTGAAAGGAATACAATACACAGGCATATTTAAATTAAGAAATCAGAGCTCCGATATATTCCATGATTGTGGTTGACAATACATTATAAAACTCGTCCATCTAAGGTGAATTAAACATGCATGAATCCAGTGATGAACTTTCGGGTTTCATTCTCATTAGCGGCAATCATACTTACTTAAAGAAATATTGACATTCCATTCCGGGTATATTGTAACACGCGTGGTATATATAGTGTTTGTGATTTGTGGCATATTCTTAGCTGTTATCGATTCGAAAGTCATTTAAAATGAAATGTTTTCATAAAATTGCTTTCAGTTTTAAGAGTACAAAGTGGTTCATTGCAAAGTCGCAAAAAAGAGTTTAATATGATTTGATTGGTTTAATGATTAAAGAAGTACAAAAGGAAGGATATTTAAAAATTGATTAGAATAACAATTCATTTGTAATCAATCATTAATGGAGCATTGAGTAAGCACAATAATTTGGTCTGACGGCGCCTTTCAGCCCCCTGCTGAACTCGCAATAAAGCAAAAACACTTGAACGCAATCAACAGCGCAATGCGTACCCGCCTACTGTACTCTTTTTAAACTACATTTGTAAATCTTTAACGATATGATCTTTAAAAATGCCTGTGAATTAAAATATGTAGACTATAAATGTAAAGGAAAAAATGGATTAAAGGATAAAAAGAATCAATTATAAAATAGAATGACAGGACAATGAATCAAAACATTTTCAGATATAGCTACATTTTTTCTTCAAGTTAAGAATTAGTGGTCGTTCGTTGCAACGACATCCCAAAACTAGATGGAGAAGTGTTTCCCCCCTTACTCAACCCCACCCCCTTTAATCTCAGATTTTGTACCTACATGTTCAAATGAACCTCAAATTAAAATAATCCTTAGTCGTGAAGGAATTTGATTAATCATGGACAAAATAATATTTTTCTTCCTAGAGGATCGATGTGGTTTTTCAATAACTTATTTTTTCTATGTCTGGTGCATGACTTTGGTGCACATGAATATTTCACCCCTTACTGTAAAAGTGGTGCATTTATAATTTTATCTGTGTCTCACCACTTTGCCTTATTAATAGATTTACTCTGAATGAACTATAAGGAATCATTCCCATCAATATGGTTACTGAATTAAAAACAAAACTTCTCTTTATCTCTTATGTTTTCCTCTGTGTTGTGGATTTTGAATTTTCTGTGGAGTTACCGTGGTAGTATGTACAAATACGACATGATAACCAATATAAATCTTCTGTTTAAATCCAAAATTTACATGATATATTTTCAGAACCTGATATAGATCAGCATTCACTGTTTGTCTATAAATGTTATTTCACATTATTGCTACTTCATCTAGATAAGAGTTCACGTATTGAACAAGAATTTATTTATATCAAGCTTAAAGAGAAGACTCTTCAATTTATCGCCTTGGGTTAAAAAAAATAAAAATATTGATATATTGATTCCTGCTTCTGCACCTGTCAGATGTACACATCGAGCTTCAGCGAGCCTATCAACTAATAAATAATTTATAAAAAGGGATCACTTGTATCCAGGACGAGCAGATAAAATCTTCAAATTACAAATTGGTTTAAAATTTGTTTGAAAGTTTAAAATATCCAGTCTTGTGTCACACCAATTTTTTTTTTCAAATACGATCAACCGAAAAACTTCAAAATTTCGAAAAACTCAACACAAAGAGAGAATGAATGATATTCTGGTACAAAGGGAGATATATCTGTTGAGCGAAATCTTTTTTTTCCTACCAGGATAGGAAGTACAACAGAGAAGATGTATACTCTTAAGAAATCATGACATCTAACTGAGGACTGTTATTAATTAATAAATTAAATATAAAATTTATGGTTTTGGTGAAAAAACCCCTATTAATTGGTGTGCTCATTTTGTTACACTCTTACAACAACTATTTTATTTCTTCCAATAGGGGTGATGTTCTAATATATATTTATATTATAAAACTGGATAAACGATTCTACTTTTCATATCGATGAGTATACTGCTTTGCACCTACATAATTACAAATGTGGCTTGCAAACGATGACACTAGACCTTTAGATGCAGTATGAAGTGAGGAGTTACATAGTATCCCTTACAAAAGTAGAATTTACGTCCTTTACAAAACAATGCATGGCACATGTCATCTTTTGTAAGGGCTGTAGTTACATATCATCTTTTTCAAAGCCAGGTCCTTTGCTATTTGTTTTTTTTTTAAGAAAGAAAAAAAAAAACGAGAAAAAGTCTAACAAACAAAAAAGAAAACTTAATTATACCTTTATAATTCTGAACTACTGAACTTCTCATAATGCACGTCATAACACTTTCCAGGTATAAGACGTATCACATGTTCTATATCTACATATATAAATTAATGAACGTCTTGTGATAATTATATATTGTTTCACAACACCACATGGACCAAAGGAAATCTACAATGCTAGTTAAGGGTTATTACAGAATACACATACCTGCCACATGAAATGATGACTAGTAAAGCTCTTAAGTAAATCTGTTATTGAAAAGAGCCAATTAAATCAATCAATAAAGGTATTTGCTTATACGTATTAATTAGGAAAGTTATTGATTCAGAAATCCTTACATAAAAACATCAACGCCTGTTCCTCAGAATTTTATCAGACAAATGAATTATACAGGAGATATATGTACATCAGAGCAGATCCTCAGAATTTTTATCAGACAAATGAATTATGCAGGAGATATATGTGCATCAGAGCAGATCCACATAAGCATGAAATACCTAGATATACTTCCTACAAGGCTTCGCACAATATCTTTGTTTGTAAGGCTCATTATTTAAAGTGTAATTTAGAAGAAATTGGTTTTAATTCTACATTTGGAAATCCAGCTTATACTCACAGTTCACTTTCTAGGGATGAAATTCTTCAAAATCACATTTCAGTCTCTAAAGCTTTTAAATACCAGTCAACGAAATCGAGACAGACCACCCAACTTAGATGTGTACTGGATTCCTTAACTTCATAAAAATCCTTACAAACAAAAATACATTGCCGGGTCCAGCAACTGCTCTACTAAGCCCCTATTTTTATTCCTCACCGAAATATCATTTGCTGAAAAGAGATACTTTAGACGTACTGTGTCACAGAATATTTGAAAAGTGGTGAATATCAATTACAAATTCTCAAAAACTCCAAAGAACTTTTAGAAAATTGAAAATCACAATACTTTTTCAAAAGTCGGTAACATCAAAACGTATAACTTTTCTACACTTTATACAACCTTTCCTCACGATAAATAGATAAACTAGGCTTTTTGATTTCATGCACGACTGCTACTTCAATAAAGCTTGAACTCGTAAATTTAAATAATAATGACTGGCCATCTACAAAATTTCTTTGTAAAAGAACTCTGATTCTTCACATAAGTAGCTTGAGGCTCACATTATAAGGATGCTGGAGTTCCTCATTGACAACATCTATATAGTCCTTGGAGATCAGGTCTTACAACAATCTGCGCTTCGTTTTTACCGGTCTGTTTTTATATTCATATGAAACAGAATTTATTTAAAAAAAAACCCTTCTACATGAGAAAAAGAAAACACGTGTATCGGCGAAGTTTCATCTATTAAGAATAGTTACTTACATTCGTATGTCGACTCAATTTGAAACTCTATCACAAACGAGATGACTTCAGCTTTTCCATCGTAACTTTTCTTAATTATGTAGTTATATTCAATTTTCACCTGCACAAGGTGTTTCTGTCCTCCAACTTATACTCAAAAGCATGCTCTGGATACGAGAAATTTTAAAACCGAGGCAGCTGGACTACTGACTTAAGTTGATGCTACAGGGAGTTCAACAACCTTATTTAAAGTCAGCATTTTGTAAATTCTATGGTATAATGACCTTGTTACCAAATACAACCTATTATTGGGGCATATTTAAACTGAGATATTTCATACCAATTGTTAGGTCTTTGTTTTGATACTTATTTAATTTGACTACGGAGTATTCTGTCTACCTGCCCAATACCTTGGACTCACGGCAGGTGTGACCGCTCAACATGGAATGCCTTATTCTAGGCCTCTGATTTCCACCTCTGGAATTTCCAGGGTCCCGTGTTTTATGCTTTGTTCACAGATTTGTATTGTTTGTATTCTTTTTAGATCGATCACTGCATGTTCGTTATATTCATCTATTTCATCTGGATTAAGTGTATATTCTACTTGCATGGAAACGCTTCATACAATAATGATTATTTAACAAATTTAATCTATCAGACTCAGGAAACTTCGGTGTGAATCGATCACAAATAACATAACTATTAACTTTTGTGTCAATTAATGATTTCGAACAACTTTTCTTATCTTAATTTGAATGACACTGAGAAAATCATCAGAATTTACGATATGCTGCACGGAATGTCTGCAAGGTGTCAAACTAAATTATGAATAAGCAGCTCAATTTCCTTGTATCCCCCGACTGTTAAACTACAGCAATCGTGACTAGACAATTATTCGTTCCTAACCTTATTCAGCATAAATAATGCAATCTCCCACCTGCCAAGTTTTTATTCATCTGTGTCACAATGTATAATTTATATACATGGGCCAGATGGGTATGCAATATAATCTCTTTGATTTTGTAAAAGTATAGATGCAGAGGGGAATATCACATAGCCAACTGGCCCCTTCATGTTTATTCGATATATTTGGCATACATAGCCAAATCGTGTAAATAGTATGAATTTTGACCTGATTTTTAAATAAATTTATGGCTGAGAATGTCAAGTATCGCATTTCCCAGTGATGTTCTCTACCGAAC